ACCAACGGTTGGAGATTGATTGAGATGGCTCCAATCAAGGCAGAGTAGATTAGCTTGTCTTGGCGTTTCCACTTGACAAAGTCTGGGTTTTCGGTTGTTACAACATTGGTTGTTATCGTCGGAGGCGGGGCGACCATGGATCCATCAAGATGGCCCGATAAGCCATGGCCATCAAGATGGGCGTGCACTTGCAGACTCCACATTAGGTAGTTGTTGCTTGTGAGTTTTGAGACATTCATCATGTGAATGTTGAGGACAGAGTTGGAGTTGATCGGAATTGTAGTCGGAATTGCGTCTGTTGTTGTTGCAGCCATGGTGGCGAGTGAGCGTTGAAGATGACGGCGTGAAGAGAAAAAGAAAAAAAAAAATTGGTTTAGGTTTAGGTATAGATCTTAGGCTCTGATACCATAAAGAGGCTGAATATTTCTTATATTGATAGAATGTGTTTTAACACATATATATACACAGACGCTAGAGTGATTAGGGTAGAAATAATTACATATGAATCCTAAAACTATTTGTATTTACATATATACTCTTATAAATTATACATACAACTGTTATAACTTATAAGTATCAAATATAGTGAAATACAGAAATAGCCATATGAACATTAACCGGTTTAACTTTTCTAAATAAAAACATTGACCGGTTTAAACTATCCGAATCCAACCAAACTGAAATAGCACAAAAATATTGAAACTGAGTCCCATTCATAAGTCATAACCCAAACGACTGTTAAAAACGGACCTCAAATTGGGCTAAAAGGCTTTATTTACGACCCAGGTCCAAAACACGGCCCACAATCGAGGGTTAGGGTTTTAGAATTTTAGAGAAGCACACCAGAGAGGAGAGGAAGAAGAAGAAGAAAGCAGCCATGTTTCCAGGAATGTTCATGCGAAAGCCAGACAAAGCCGTGGCCTTGAAGCAGCTACGGACTCATGTAGCTCTTTTTGGAGGCTGGGTTGTTATTGTCCGTGCTGTTCCGTACGTTCTCTCGTATTTCTCTGATTCCAAGGATGAGCTCAAGATCGAGTTCTAAGACTCAGATTCACTTTTGTATTTTCAGGTCAGGAAATTTGATTCTTTGATTGCCTTTCTTTGATGTGATTCACAGATTCAGCTTTGGAGATTCTGAATTTTTACTATTGAATCCTCGAAAATGTGACGAGTTTAGCAAAATTTGTGTTGATACGATTTAAATTTGATTGAATTGATTCTGTTTGAGCTAAATACTCTTTAAGGATCGAGTTAGATCAGCTGGACATTTCAGTTTTTTTTTTTTCTAAATGTTGCATCTTTTGGGTTATCATCTGTGTGTGAAGTCATATTATATACCGATGTATCCCATGGAAATTTAGAGATTGATGAGTAACTATGCTTAGGCAAAGTTAGTTTGCTCCTTTTGTACTGGCATGAGAGAGAGAGTCTTCTTGAAGGAATCTTAATATTAATCTTCAATATTCTGAACATGTTAGCAAAATATTGTGTGTAGTTTAGAATGTTTTTGGAAGGTTTGTCAATAAATTCAAGTCATTTTTAGTAATCACTCTTGTCTGTTCTTAACTAGGTTTCAAGGCTTGTTAATGAGAATGAGTTCACAATTATATAAGCATGATATGCTTCAGCTTATGACGTAGGAAGTTATCTTATGTACTGAAATATCCCTTGGAGATTAGGGATTTGTTGATTATTGACTATGCTTAGGCAAAAGCTAGTTTGCTCCTTTTGTGCTGGCATGAGAGAGGGTCAACCTTAATGTTAATCTTCAATATTTTCTGAACATGTTAGAACAAATTGTGTGTACTTTAGAATGTGTTATCAATGGTTTGTCAGAAAATTCTAGGCAATTTAGTAATGTATGTGATTACACATAGATTCATCATCTCTCTGCCGTATTAAGATCTCTCTGGTTTGTTCTTAACTAGGTTTCAGGGCTTGTTAATGAAATGAGTTCACAACCATAAAAGCATGATATGCTTTAGTTTATGCCTTAGGAAGTTATCTTATATACCGAAATATATTCTTGGAGATTAGAGATTGTAAGTATTCACTATGCTTAGGCAAAGTTAGTTTGCTCCATTTGTGCTGGCCTGAGAGAGAGTTTTCTTGAAGGAACCTTCATGTTCTAACAAGATTGTGTGTAGTTTAGAATGTGTTTTGAAAGGTTTGTCAAATAATCCAAGTCATATATATAATGTGTGTGATCTCTATGCTTTGGATTCCCCAGTTCTCAGCTATATTGAGATCTCAAATCTCTTGAGTTTGCTAAGCCACTATCTTCTTTCACCCCATGCAGTGTTGAAGCGGTGACATAGATGCAGTATGAAGCAATGGAAGACATTGTGCTTGTTATTTGCAATCTTCTTACTCTTAGGACCTGAAAAAACCTAATCGTGAGACATAAATTTATATAGTGGTGTACTTTTGGTATTTGTTTTTGATTTATGATCTTCTCACTAGCTTTTCTCCTCCAGTTTCGAGCAAATTACCATAAGCTATCGACAAACGATTTGTAGATCAAATTATGCCCAATATTCTTTTGAATTTTCAAAATAAACTTCGCAGAACCAATTTTGTTTTGTCTTTTGGAGCGTTTTAATTGTCACATCTTTTTGGATAATAAAATAGAAAAAGGGGGAGAGAAAACGAAATGAAGAAGGAAGGAATAAAAGTGTTGCATAACAGTTTTCTCCGACATTTGCTCTGCTTTGTCTGATGAATACAGACCACAACTCTTTTAACATGAACAGTCTTCTCTTTTCCACCATTCGTAACACTCACAAGTCACAAACAACGTGCGAACCAGAAACACTATCAACTTGCCTTTTCTTTTATTTCTCTTCTTCTTCGTCATGGTCATGATTGTCATTTCTTTGTTTTCACCCAGACCCATGTCAAAAGCTTCCACCTTTATAGAGTTTTAGATTCAAGCGCTTAACTTACGTGTGACACACGCAAAGCTGGTGATGGTGGAGGTCCCTAGCTCTGTGGGCACAACTGCAAGCCTTTCCTTAAGGTTAGGGCAAACGGTATTAGCATTTGGCTCTCTTCTCTTCATGACAATCGGTGTTCGCTTCTACCCATTCACTGCTTTCTGGTAAACAACTCTTAATTCCAGATTCTATATTCTCCTATGAACCCTAATAATCTTATAAACAAATCTGCAGCTACTTGGTGACGATCATGTCATTAGCTATACCATGGAATCTGACATTAGCTGTAGTAGATATCTATTGCGTTCTTCTTAACCAACCATTTCAAAAGCCACGGATCCTTCTCGTTATATCTATTGTTGATTGGGTAACGCAAATCTATACCCAATGCCTACTGAGAAAAAAACACACAAGTATTCGATCTAAAGTCACCATTTTTATTAATTTTGCAGGTGGTGTCTGTTCTAGCTTTGGCTTCAGCTTCATCAGCAGCTAGTGTTGTAGATATTTTGCGATCAGACGAATCCTCTTGCCCTCCAACAATCTGCAACAGATATCAGTTTGCAGCAATATTAGCTTTCTTGACTTGGTTCTTGTCTCTCTCTTCTTCTCTCTTGAATCTCTGGTTACTTCCTTCTCTGATCTAAAACAAAACATAAATAGATAGGTAGCAAAGACAAAATTGTCTATAGAAACTCAAATCTTTGTAACAACTCATCACTATCTCACACATTTGCCTGAAACAGCAATGCACTGATGATTTGCCAAATTGACATAAGAAGACAAGAGTTTCTTAACAGTGTTATTCATCAACTTTCACCAGATAAATCTCTATTACCACCATATAACTCATAATCATCTCAGGAAATCAAATATCACAGACATGATCCAAAAGCATAAACTTTGATGCAATATGCTGATCGGGACAACTCCTAGCTTGTCTCAGAGACATGTTTTTCCTTCTCTATGCACGGTTCTCTTAACAAAAACTGCAGTAAGGAGAAAAGGGATGATAAGTCTATTAAAATGTCATTAAAATGCTTATGCTTATTTTAGCTCCAGGATGTCTTTTGCATTTGGTTACAAAGCCCAGAGTTAAAAGGACATAAGATTTCAATCTTTTCTGTTTTCAATGTTAGCTTCTTAATATGCTTTCTCGAGAAAAGGATGAATATAATTGTAAAAAGGATTTTGTTTGAATAAAATTTAACATTCATACAAAAAAAAGAAAAGAAAAGAAAAAAAGAAAGAATTAGAGCATCGCACAGAAAAAACATTTCAACATCCGAAGTTCTCTTGGTATAATGATGTAGTGTGACATAGTATACATCATTATATTGGACATAGGTCAATGTTGACCCTTGACATGTGGAACTTTGGACTTTTTATATCATTCTTTTTGTTTTCCTTTTTCTCTCTACAGCATTATTGAAATCTTTTCTTGTTATAAGTCTTAACTTTGTGGTTTTTTTCTCTCTTCTCTTGTTTTGTTTAGATACTACCGAACTAATTGGTTGACCGAGAAAAGCGATGTGTTCAGCTTCGGTGTTGTTCTACTAGAGCTAGTAACGAACCAACCCGTGATAGACCAGAAAAGGGAAAGATCACATATAGGTGAATGGGTAGGTTTGATGCTATCAAGAGAAGACATTAATAGCATTGTGGATCCCAAGCTTCAAGGAGACTTTGATCCGAACACAATATGGAAAGTTGTTGAGACAGCAATGACTTGCCTGAATCCGTACGATGACTCAAGTCGTAATGGATCTTAAAGAATGTCTGAACATGGAGATGACAAGAAACATGGGAAGCCGTATGACGGATTCAACTAACGATTCTTCAATCGAGCTGTCCATGAATTACACAACAGAGCTTAATCCAGGAGCTAGGTGAATCAAATCTTATATTAAATATGTTTGAAGCTGGAAGTTTCTTTGTATTTCTCTGTTTTATTTACTCACTCTGTTTAAAACAGAGCGTCGAATTCCTCTGTTTTACTATTTTTTCCTTTTTTTTTTTTTTTTTTTCTCTTACCATTACCAACTAAGATTGTTAGATTGCATTCAAATTAAAAGAGTTTTATAACTACTCGGAGAAAAATACCAAAGGCTACACGGAGCCGAATAAACAAAGACATGGACAGATTGGTCGAGCAAATGATAGAGCTAAAACAACGAAAACTCAAATAGAGATAACCAGCGGCGGCAAACGTCACGACAGAGGTCAAACGGAGAGGCTTGATCCTGGCTTCGTTATGCACTTATCAAAACATTTTACTCTCACAGTCTGCACAACCACAACAACAAAAAACCAAACTTTAATACAATAACATTGAGAATCCATGGAAACAAGGTTGGTTCATAACAGAAAACTACTAAAATCACATTGGATTGGTCGAAAAAAGTTAACTTTGTGTACAAAAAAAGAGTCAAATTGGTCAACGATTTCAAAGATTGAAACTTTAAATCAATAACATTGAGGATCCTTGGAGATATTTAAGAACTACTGATTCACAGACAATCTTCGAGATTGGTCGGAAATTTCTACTTCCTGTACTAAAAATAGACTTCAAATTGGTCGGCGATTTCAAAGATTGAAAGAGGAATTAGGAAAAAGATTTAGACCTCGATGAACTCTTCGGCGTAAGCTTGAGCGAGTTGTGTCTTGACCTGCTCCATGAGTACTTCGGGCGAAGGCGAAGGCGAAGCACCATACGAGAAGATCACCGGAAATGTGGACAAAATCTTCGCCTGAGAATCTGGGATCGAAGAGAAGAAGAGGGAAGGTCTTAGGGTTCCATTTTTTAAAGATGGGCCTTTTCAGAACCTCATACAAAGCCCAACTTAACTAACTAATTGACGTAAATGCCCCTCGGTTATAAAACCTTTTGTTTTGTGGTCAAACTCCAAGTTTTTACTTTTTTAACCTATTGCTTTTCAAAAACTAATTTAATCATGTTCACTATATTGAAGTAGAGTTCTTATTAATTCACCAAAAAAAAAAGTAGAGTTCTTATTAGATCTGAGCATTTGAAAATTCGGGTCTCTTCAGTTCGGATTTCAGATAATTCGACTATTCGAGTATTAGAAGAACAGATACCGAATTTAGGCAAAAAAAAAAAAAAAAAAAGTAAGGTTCATAAAGCTTCAAGTATTGTAAAACAGGAATGAAGAAAAATTAAATATGATATGTATTTTGGTTTGGCTTAATGTGTTTCAAATATAGCAATTGATATGGGGAAATTTACTTTAGAGTTTAGACTCTTTATATTATATATCTTGAAATTGTACCACAACACAGTGCAAACTCACATTCCAAGTTCCAACAAACAAACAGATCCATTAGATCAATGCAGCTTCAATAGTTCTTCGACCTTGTTGATAGTACTTGTAGTGGAGCTCCGCATACTTGGTAATTGTTTTATACAATCTTGGTCTTGCCTCGGACACAAGCCCATCCGCAGGCTGAATCTCTTTGTCTGGCCCCGGAACACAAAACGTTGCCACAGAGATCCTTTCCTTTTCTCTGTTCGTCACCACTCTATGAACCGGACTCTTGTATATCCCATTACTCATTATCTAAACACACACGAGAGATTATGTCAAAACATACACCAATCAATCTTTGAAAATCATACTATACAATATCTACATGATTAATTTACCTCCATCTGATCTCCTAGATTGATAAGAATTGTATCAGGAACTATTGGAGCTTTATACCACTTCCCATCTTTGAGAAACTGAAGCCCTTCGACATCTTTGTCGGGTAAAAGAAGAGTGATAGCCGAGCCATCAGCGTGCGGTTTAATCCCAATAACCTTGTCTGGCCTTGGACATGGAGGAAAGAAGTTGAATCTTGAATTCATTATAGCATTTTCTCCATACATCTTTAGAAAACAATTCTCTTCCAATTCCAATGATCTAGCCATAGCCTTAAAGAATTTCTCAATCACTACCCGTTGCTTCATTGTGTATTCATGTAACGTTTCACTAAAGACATAAACTATTGTCAAAACTCACCACCAGTCAATAATGAACCAAGGTGGTGTTGCAATTGGAAATGGATTTTATTACCTGAATCCGACCGGGACTTGAGGCCAGAACTGAAGTTGACGCTTATCTTCAGGGTAAGTAGTGAGAAACAAACGGTCGATCCAATCAAGAACTTGATTATCCGACAGAATCATATCGTTTCCATATCCTTGGATATTACCTGTCTCTCTAGAGCACTTGTGTTTCTCTTCGGTTGGAAGCGCAAAGAACTGCTTGGTTAGCTTGTAAATCTTGTCAAGAAACGCTTCAGTAATTCCATGATTCATCACCTGCTTACTTCAATAAGACCTTGTACAGAATTTGATTCATGAATCTGATCATCACTAACCAAGAGAGTCACAAACCTGAACAACGCCCCATGTAGAGAGTGCTGAGTGAAGTTTCTTCAACTCTTCTCGACCATCTTCAGAAGAAGAGAAGAGAAGACTGAGATCGATGGCCGGAATATCCATCTCCGGCACCGAACCGTTAAGAGGTTGACTTTCGCCTTCGCCGGTTGGTTCATGGAGATATCTCTCCGGTAGTCCTTCGCCGGCTGCAACCACCTCTTGGACAGTCTTGAACTTTGGCTTCTCCATTGTTGCTAGTTGCTACTGATTTCAGAGAATCTTGAATATGATGAGCAATTTGGGACAAAAGATCAGAAGACAATCTTGACTTTGTTGTCGGTTTGGCATTTTCTAAACCCAAAGATAACACTACTTTATTATTTTTTTTACTGCAATTGAATTTTATTAATAGAGAGAGAGATTCATACAGAGGACTATATATTATAATAATACAGGGGAATTGTAGTTAGAGATACATTCAGATCATATAACTTGACAAACGACAAAACCATACCCACAAGACAAAAATAGTATTCACCCTCTATATTCTAACTTTACTGTGTAACTCAGAACAAGACCTCCACGCAAATCAATTCTGAAGTTTCAGTTTCTATAGCTCCCCTCTCTTTTTCCATATGATCAGCAACATGTTTATTGCGTTCTTGAATACTATACCTTTTCCATAATTCTGTACAACTCTATTGGTTCTGACTTGAAATGTATCAGATTCGAAGAGCTAATCAAGATTGCTCGGAGACAACTGAAGTATTCTTTTTGATTAGCTCCGGAACTTGATCGAGCAATCGATTCATGTCATCAGGGAACTGGTTCTTGGCTCTGTTTGTTCTTCCCCCTACGACCAATGTTGTTCCATTTTGTAATGCCCATATCTTCATATGAACATAAGAGATTAAATTTCACCAAAAAAAAAACAGAGTAGACCCAAATGCCAATGGGACACATTGGTATAAAACAAGACTTTTTGATGGGATATCGATTTTGAGAGTTACTTCTACCTGTGAATGAGATAAGTAACTGATACAAGTTGTGAGCATTAGAGCACCAAAACCAGCATAGACCACTGGTACTCCTGGGTCAGTCTGAGAAACAAGACCAAGAACAAATATGTCATATAATAGTACAAACTAGGATATCTCTTTATTGTGTGCCGGTTACATTTTAAGAAGTCTTTTTACCTTTAACTCAAGGCCAGTGCTTCCAATTGCATCCTCGATAACGATCTTCATACCATTGATTTCAATGGGAAGCTTCGAGTTTGGTCTCCTTATTCCAGCGAATTTTCCTTCCAAATCATACACAACAATGGATTGTAGATCCCGAGCTAGCATAGATCTGAAAATAATTCAACTGGAGCTAAGTTAAGGCCAATAGAAGACACCAAAATGAAACTCTATGTCAGGAATCCAAGAAAATGTTTTATCACTTATACACTCGTTGGCTTAATTATAAAGAAAGGTTCGTCAAAGGCAAGAAGGTTCTTACATTCCTTTGACATTGGGAGCATTAGTATCACCAACTGGTAAGAAGGTCCCATATAACTTCTTGTCTCCATTGATCTTGATAGGTGCCATTGCCAAGTTGAATGGTCCTTCACCATCTTTTGTCACCTGCAAGGCTGAGAAACTCCAATCCGTCTGGTATACGGTGACTCCGCCATATCTCAAGGGATCATTAACGCTAATTGTTTTTCTCAGAACCTCTTTCCCATTAAGGTCGCGTAGTGAAAGATCAGAGTGAAACTGTGAGACCTACACCAAATCGAAAAAGATAAATCAAACAGAATTCTAATTAATTGTGAATGGTCACAAGACATTTCAATCATGAAGACAATTTGAGAGACCAGAGAAAGCAAAAAAACAGACTCACTTCTCCACTGTCATAATAATCCATGGTGAATCGGTTAACGTGAACTTCAGTATTAAAAGCATCTGTTGGAATTGAGAAAAACCCAACTGGGGCTAATACATCTCCCATGACAAAGTTTAGCCCTTGAGGAACTGTGACCGAGCCTCTAAAGCTCCCGGTCGCACTAAGAGTTCCACCCACCATAATCAGAAGCATTGCTATATGTACTCCAATAGGCGCAAATCGACCAGCCAAACCCTTAAAAGCATACAATGAAGGACCCTTCATAAATACCTGCAGAACAAACCAACTGAAAAAATTACTACTACTAGACCAAGACAAACCTCACAAACACATAAAAGGAGAATACTAATCCTAACCTCAAATCCATCACCCATCAAAATCATTCCTAAGTCTTGAATGGATGCTCTTGGAAGAGTATCTGCAAACTCCTGCTTTTTAATTGCCTCATCTGACTTCATAAAACTCCATCTGCAATTTGCTAAAGTTATGAGCTCTTCAGTAGAAACAATGAGTTACAAAACGAACAAAGGAAGAAAAAAACAGACCTTCTTGCAACCTTAACCAAAGGTATCTGAGTAGTATAAGTACAAGCCATAAGTGAAGCTGCTAAAAGAACCAACATCCCAAGAAAAATAGGAGCAGAGTACATATGATCCAATCCAAGTGTGGAAATCCATCTCCAAGTGAAGAACCCTAGTACAGGATTATCCTCTGGATACTTTTGGAAATAGAAATCAGGGGTTTCACCTTGTTCAATCACAGTCCCTAAAAAAGATGAAACTTTGATCAGTTTCTCAATGCAGATGCAAAAACCAAATCTACAAAAACCCTAATAACTTACCAAGAGCCATGAGAGCAGCAATGGTGAACATTTCTGTAATAGCAAGAGGCAAATTAGACAAAACTGACAAAACCTTTCTTGGTAATATCTTCAAAAACCTTAATCCTCCTCTTCCGTCTCCTCCTCCTCCTCCACCACCATTACCACCTCCATCGCCGGAAACTTCACCAACGGTCTCTTCCGTAACCGGCGGCGCTGAATCGGAAAGTGAAATGGTCTTCGTGAGATTTCCGGTATTACTACTTCTCTGATTCCCATTTTGAGGCTTCTGAAGCTTGCAATTGGTGGTCAGAGAGACATTTCGAATTCTGTAGAAATCCGAAGAAGGTCGAGAAAAAGGATGGATTTTGGAGAAATGGAGAATATTAGGGTTTAGTGTTACAATCATATTCGAAATTTGAGCTCTTATCTTCTCATCCCTCAAGCTTCTGCTGTGTGGGGATAAAAATGGAGCTTTGGTGGCAATTCTGTTATCTTGTGTTTTTGAAGAAGAAGAAGATGAGATAAAAGATCCGAACCGGTTTTACATTTAAACCGGTTCAATAACCAATTCCCGGTTTATCTATTTGGTCCACTAATATATACCACTCACTTGACACCAACATAAGTCATGTATTTAAGTTCTTCAAAACTTCTAGCTCTTTTTCTCTATCTTTTTTCTTTAACAAAACAAAATTTTAAAGATGGAATTTTCCGGCGGCAACGACGGCGATGTCGGCATTTCCTCCGTCCACCCTTGTTTCAACACATTGAATTCTTTGTCAGGTATAAAATATAAAAATACATATAGTTTCATATATAACTATAATCCAGCCTAGGCATTTCATATGTTAATGGCATGTATATGTGTTAAGTGTTGGTATCTTGGCTATTCCTTATGCACTTTCGTCAAGTGGATGGATTAGCATTATGTTTTTCTTTCTAATTGGAGTAACAACTTGGTACACCGGTTTACTCCTCCAACGTTGCCTCGAACTCGACCCTACGGTTCGCAGTTACCCTGATATAGCGAACATAGCGTTTGGGAAGAAAGGTCGGTTACTAGTCTCTTTCTTCATATACATCGAATTGTATTTAGTCGCGACGGCAATTAGGGAAAAAAAAAAAAAAAAAAAAAGTCGCGACGGCAATCTTGATCTTAGAAGCTGACAATATGTATCACATGTTTCCACATGCCGCAATCCGATTTCATGGATGTTTCATACTCGACAAGAAACACTTGTTTATCGTTATTGCATCTTTAATCGTTGTTCCAACAATGTGGTTGGAAACACAAGATTTTCTTTCATATATTTCGGCCGGTGGGATCCTAGTTTCTTGTATACTAGTAATGTCTATTTTTTGGATTGGCGCTAGTGACGGTGCATGTGGAATTTAAGAACGAAGGTGTTTTGGTCAATTGGCCAGGAATATCCACCGCAGTTAGACCATCTCCATTGGAGATGTCTTGAGTAGACACTAATTAATAAAAAATAATAAAAGAAAGAGAGAGAAAGGAAATAAAGTAGACACCTTTCTGCCTACCAAAAAAAAAGTAGACACCTTTCTCGTTTCAGAAACTGAGAGAAACTCTTCTATGATGTCATTACCACATGTCATAATCCTATTGGTTCAATTAATAAAAAAAAATTAAAAAAATTACAACTTTAAAATAATAATTTTTTTTTTTTTTTTTAGAAACTTTCAGAGTTTCTGCTGATGGAGATGCTCTTAGTTTATATCTTGTTTGCTACAGCACATCCTATCTTCCCAACCATCTACAATTCTATGAAGAACAAAAAAACATTTCCGTAAGGTACTTAATTTATCAAAACATTTTCAGTTAACAAGATTGGTTTATAATAAACTTCTTCAATCATTTTAATTAAACCGGTTTTTGTTTTATTAATGGGGTTTATAGATTCTTTTCATAAGATTTGCCCTTATCATCAATACATCTATGGTGTTATGGCAATCTTTGCATATCTAATGTATGGAGAAGAGGTGCAATCACAAATTACTTTAAACCTTCCAACTCATAATGTCAGCACGGTGATAGCAACCACGATCGTGAGCCCGCTAACCAAATACGCATTAATCCGTTCCCTGATCATAGAAGCCAGGGCCGGCCCAGACCTAAAGCCCAACAAAAAGGTGCATTAGGCAGCAAAATATATATTTTTAATTTTAGGGGCATCATAATTACAAAAATGTCTTGTGGTGCGGTGGTATTTGTCCCTTCAAAAGCTCGAATGTGGTGGTTCACAACTTTTACTATGCAAATTTTAGAATTTTTGTTTTTTTTCTTTAGTAAAATGGACATCAAATTTTAATGGGTTTTTGGCATCACAAAAATTTGGACCGGCTCTGATGGAAGCAATCAATATACACGATTGATTCAAGCAAACTACAAAAGGAGAAGCGTCCGGATGTTGACTAGAACCGGGCTGGTTTTCGGAACAATATTGATTGTACTTGTTGTGACGAACTATTGATTGATGTGATAATAAATTAAACAAAACAAAAAAATCAAGAAACTGCATCCTAATTAGCACAAGTTCTTACAAAACACACCAGTGTAGATGAAATAAAAGACATTGTTCTAAATATAGCAGTCACAAAAAAAACCCATCAAAGTGTGGAGGGGCTGTGGGTTATTGGAAGCCTTTCAAGTACTCTTGCCTTGAACGTCTGTAGCTTGACTTATGCGCCCCAGTATCTCGAGAATCTCATCCTGAGATAATAAATTATAACAAAAAAATAAAATGTTTCAGATAAATAAGATTAAAGAACAGTGATTGATTATGTGATGTGGTTTGTAGTAAATATATGATGGTTGTAAATAAATTACTTGTTTGTTTTCAAGATTTCTGCACATATCTTTAATTTCCTGAGGATCCAACCCGGTCCGTGAAGCCATTGATTTAATCTCGGTTAATGGCGAGGTAATCTGATCATAAACAAGAATCACGGTTAATTTACTTTAAAAGAATTTTGTGTAATCAGAACTACAACTACACGATCCCATATATATAAATTGACCTAGCTAAATCGAAACAAATAAGTCGTAAGTCGTCGTAACAAAACCCTAGCGAGAAATCTACACGTGAATAAACAATGAAGGAAAAGTGAGAATTAAGATGATGAGTTCCTTACAGCGTCTGAGATCAGTTTACATGTCTCCATCACCTCTAGCTTCTGATTCAAGGAAGCTTTATCCTTTTTAGTTGTCTCGATATGCTCTTCGCACTTACGTTCCAAGGAATCTATCTTCTTTTTAGCTGTCTCGTAAATCTCTTCCAGTTTCCAACGCATGATATATCGAGACGAGAAGAGAACCATGATCGATATAGCCACCGCGGCGGAGACTACCCATTCCAGAATCATTGTTTTTGGAGACGATATATTGACGATCTAGATCGACGGGTTGAAGTCTGAAGAAAGAGTTTTAGGTTTGAGACGGGTTCTCTGCTCAATGAGCGAGCTTAATTAAGGTATATATAGGGTTTCGTATGTAACACGCTCTCGTAGGTTTAATATTTATACTTAGGGTTTGAGGCTTTAATTCGACTAATTGTTTTTTTTTTTAGGGGTTTTGGTGGGTTTTAGATTTTCCAGGGTTTTATTTAATGAAATAATTTAACGAGTTCTTCAAAAGCTTTTGGAAGGATAAAATCATTTAATATTTTGAAGTTCGGAGAACAAATGGAAACTTGGAGGATAAGAAATCAGGATCAAGTAGAAACTATTAAGTAAGTTGAGGAAACTCGTTTCTTAATTGTTCCATATTGCTCTTCTTGTGATATCTAATACATGTAGACATCCTCTATGCTACTCTACCAAATCTGATCAGCAATGTAAAAGTAGCTTCTTAGAATACTAAGGAGTATTCAATTGTCAATTTTTGAGTCCCTCGTCGAAGCTAAGCTTTATCTTTGTTTATCTCTTGGAACAAATCTGATTACGGGGTTACGACAAGTTTGAGGTCTTCCAAGGTTTCATCTGTTGATTTGATACTTGGGAGATTTGTGCAATAAACGACAAGGACAAGTTTTGAAGCGCCCAAGTGCAATATCGACATCAAGTTTTGTGAGAAAACTAAGTACTGCAGAAACTACTTACGGAGACGCTTCTGTTAAGTGATCTGTTGGTTCCTCTCAGACAAAGACTGTTTTAGCAAAAGAAACAACAAGATCATCCTTCATAGCATCGACTGATGAACCATCAACATCTTCGCGCCATTGTATACTACCTCTGCGTCATCTGTAAAGTCAAACCAAACACAACACGTAAACCGGCTCAGCCCCGATAAAACCAATATAAGTATGAGCTAACCGAGACTTAAAACTCTTTACCATAAATAAGATCCAACTTGAACTTAGGAGGCACATTATCATCTGACTCAACCGCTGCTTTAGCCGAGGCAATGCCAACTGCTAAACTCTGGATTAGATCTAACCCATGGCTTAGCGATGCGACTGTGCCGCCTACCAGGCAATCACCTGCACCAGTCAGCTTCTTGACTTTGGCTGGGATGGTTGGGAAATGCATTGCGAAAAGACTCGGGTTGAAATTCGTTCCTACTTCAGAAAACCGGTTTGGTGAACATACAGATTGTACTCTTTTGAAGATCTCTCCACTTCTGGGAAACTTTCTGTTTATGTTCAGAGCCTTTTTCGGGTTTCCCTTGGAGCATAGGAGAGCTCCATTGGAGCCGAGAGTTACGATAACTACTTTAACACCATTTTCAAGGAGAACCCAAATGGCTGGCTTTAGCGCGCGGAACATATCTTCGATAGAAAGCTTATTTTCTTCTAATCTAAAGGGGTGGAACAAATTCTTGGCGCAGAGAGCGTTTGCCATGGCTATAAGTTCGTCTTGGTTTGGGGACACTATTGTTACCTGTTAGGAAACAAAACCTATATCCGTTGGCTTGCAAATATAACATAGAGAACGAAAAAGAATCTAGCTTTCATGAGGCACTCACATACTTGGCAATTGAGGCGATCCTCTGCGACTTTGTGACTGACACGGGCTCAAACCATACAGGAACATTGAACTCTGCAGCCACTTCAAGAAGAAAACCGTTAAGAAGACAAAACAAAACGATGATTAGACAATCAAACTAAGAAACTATAAGCATTACATTTGCAAGATGCTTCCAAAGCAAGAGTGCTAAGATTTGCATCTACCATAAGAACAGGAGCAGCGCTTATGTTGTCTTCGAACCGCTGGATCCACTCAGGTGTCAGAAACTTTTCCTGGCCGAGGAAACAATGTATATGTAACTTCTACAAGTAAGTACAACAACGACATCCTTCAAAAAAAGATACTTACAAGTGCATCGACACCAGCAACACCGGCCGCAACTTCTCCATTAATGTCATATACAAGGGACACAATGGGAGTACTAATGTCTTCACGTCTCAAGATTCCTGCCATTATCGACCACGAAAATGTCTTAAATTTTGTTTGTCTCATAAATAAGTAAAAAGGACAGACTTTTTCAACTAAATTGTGCATCAATTGCTTTACTATATATCGCAAAAAGCTGATCCGTTCGTGAAGAAAACCTCGATAATTTTTAGGCAAAGTCTAACCTTCCATGGAGAGCTTCCACTCTTTCAATAATACATTGGCTGTGTACAAATAAAAAAAGGACCAAATTAAGCTCCCAAGGAAGCAAAAATAATGACTGATCAATGTTTTCTCAAAAACTGAATCAATGACACTATTGATAAACACACCTGGACCATCAAGCCCCAAAGTACCAATCATAAAAGGTTTAATTCCAAGCTTGAAGATGCACTCAGCTACATTTCTTGCTACACCACCCGGCGCAAACACAACCTATTAAAGATAATTTGACATGTTAATTACTTATTAAACATCTATGTTCTAATTATCAACACATAACTGTCACACTTGGGGTGGGGCTTCGATATCGTTAACTACTCCAGCTTTCAGGAGAAAAAATCAAATCAACTATTGATTTTTCTTTTCCCAACCAATTGTAGACATGATTAGATTTCAAAAATCAAATTCAAAACCTGGCCAGGGACAGTGGTTCCTGAGATTGTGCGGTGGAAGGCTTGGCGTGAATATCCAAAATCAGCGCACCGATTATCACCGGTTCCATTGACAGAGATTTTCTTCGATTCTCAGTCCAAAACTGATAGATCTGTTGTTTGGTCTGTCGTTTTATCGTAGTTCTCTCTCTGTCTCTGTTCTCTCTTTTATTTTTTACTCCATGACTTAATGTTGACTTGCAGACATTTTCTACTGAATGTTGATTTAAAAAAGAATTAAAATTACATATATTTTAGAAGACTACTATCAATCAATTTGAATTAAGTATACTACTATACTACTATCCCGAGGAAATTGCCATCAAGGAGCGATTCCAAAGTTGTGTATACCTTAACAAGAAGCCTTAAGCTGTTGTTGGCTTAAGATTAAACATAAAGCAGATCCTGTCAGATTGCTAAGCTTCCTCAATAAAGGGTACAAATAAAGGGTGAGACTTAATAGAAAAAAAAAAAAAAGTATTTACATGTACTTTTCTTTAATCTTTGTTGCTTATGTTCACCAAATTATGTGAATGATCAAAATACTGCCATGGACTGCATAAATTCCATGATCCCAATACTCGTTTGACATTGCTTGGTCCAGTTTACGGGCTACTAAATATCGAATTTGTCAGTTAGATGGATACCGCCACAAGGATTATCAGAGAGATGATTATCACTATCATAGGGGCAGCTTATGAGTCCCTCCATTTCAGGATGCCGAATGCGTAATCGGCAAGTGATTCGAGGAGTTATCAAATACTCCACGCACACCACCCTTTGGTTGTGTGATATGTAAATATTGACTGATCCCAAACGACCCAAAATTTTTTTTTCTGTCAAACGCTTTTGTTTTATTAATACTCTTCTTTTCATCATATTCTGATGCTGAGGAAGTGAAAGAACCAAAATGGGTTCTGGTGTAATATGCGGTAATGAGTTTATCTTCATCATTGAATAAAATAAATTGTTTTATATAACGCATGGAATCATAATCATTGACCATTTCTACCCAAGAATAATAATAATAGCTTACATCTCAAGTTATCGAAAATCCCCACACCACACAACACTCCTACCTTTCTCCTTTGTTACTTTTTTTGTGCATAGCAAAATCCTACGACAAAAAAAAAAAATAGAAATCCTCAAGTTCCTCTCAAGTAATTAATTAGTCAGAATGTCCAACCGAGAGGAGATAAAAATTAGCAAATCGGAATACTGGATGGTTTAAAGATTTTTACCTGCAAATTATATAACTCTGATTTCGGATATCATCAAGTTCCCTCTTCTTCTTACTTCTCGATGCCTTGTTGCAAATATTGAATCAAGTCGTATCCAGCCGTAGTCCACTTGTTATATGCGTCGGTACATACATGAATCATGAAGTGTGCAGCTTCACGTTCGCTCATTTCTGGGTGAAATCTTTTCCTAAGATTACCAATTGGATCTCCTCTGCTAAAGCAAGGCAATCCACTTTCTAGCATCATTTGCACAGTGCTGATGATTCCGTCCATCTGCCGCCGAGCAGCTAAGTACCCCTTGACGCACAAGCTCACAAACTGATGCCATGTTTTGCTTTTCATAACACCCGAGGGATCTAGCAATTGGGTCATTTCGTGGCTCAGTTTGAAATGAGCACTCTCAAACCGCATGTTTCCACCAGGTGAAGTTTCCAAAATGAAACCAAAGTCGATGTGGACAAGTCTTCCCACGCTGCATTAGCATAACACATGGTAATAAAGTTGTGTTACTTCCATGAAATTTCCCACATTATATTTTTCCATGGAGAGTTTTTGATTTATTTTATTTTTTTCCATTGCACCAAGTGAAAAGAACAAAGGAAATGCACAAAATAGGAAACGTACTCATCGAAGAGGAGATTTCCATTGTGTCTGTCTTTGGGCTGGAGTAAAAGACTAGCCACTGCGTAACCGGCACTGCTGATGAGGAAGTTCTCTCGTGCTGTTTCAAAGGTGGTTGAGCCGACGGGCCCATAGTCTTGTTGGAAAATCTCATACAAACCCCCGTCGGTAGTTTCACCCCATTTGACTTCTGCTTCTTGTATTAGGCACAACCTGTAATATAAGGGAAGAAAAGAGATATGAAAGAGAAAAAAATCAGCCTTATTTGATACAAAGAAGTTCTCATACACCGTATCTATTTCATCCAGCAAGGATATTAAACATTTTAGAGTGAGATTTACCTCAATTATGCCCCTCTCCGCACCAGTTGGGAGTACTCCATATGGAAAAGATAAAGATTAAGACCAGCCGCTTGAAATATGTCTCTAAGAAGAGATATCACTTGAAGAGCAAGAACATCTTGCCGGCAATCATCTCCAACCTAAATGGATACAAGAGAGAATCATCAAACTCACAGTAAACACCGAGTGCAGCATCTGAATGTCCAGAAACCACTAGCTACGTTTTTTTTGTCAACGTTTTCCAAACTATATTTACTTAAACAAGTGGTAGAGCCTGACAGGAGAATTGTTTTCTTTTTTTCTGCACTGGCAATTACTATAAGGAACAACAAGTAGAATAGCTTTCACGTCGACCTACAAACATAAAAAATTTATATGAAAATCATGTGGAGGCTTACCTTGAAAATGCAAGCCTGTGGTTTTACATCACTGTGGTCACCATCACGATCAATAACGTTAAAAGTTATCATGATAGGGACTTTGGCAGCTGATTGTAAAGGTATTCCACTGTCTACACGGATACCCCTAACAAGCTTGTTAGGAGCAGTTGGCAAATAAAGGTCATCTCCCTGCATTTCAATTTTCTCCAACTCCCTGCCATGGAGAGTATTAGACTACCTTGCATCTAATACATGCAGACACATCCGTAACATGATATGGTTTATTAAATTTAAAATGCTACCTCCTAATACCGGCTCTGCGTTCTTCCTTTGGAAGAGGAAATAGCACCCCAGAAATAGAAGTAACCTTGTCAAAGAAGTCAAACTCTCTAGTGAACATGTCCAAGGCATTGGGACTGAAACCATCAATGATATGCTGCCGAACCACTGGCAAAATTTCTTGGAATGCCGCATTCTGAAATATTACAGAAACAAGAGATAAGCTCAGATTATTTCAGCAGATCAGTCAAAAGATATACAACGAAGTTTTACCACTATCTATAGCATAACTACCTACTCTCTGTCTCACTACATCTTTTCTCCAAAACATTATTTCCAAGAACAAACTTATGCTATACAAAACAATAAACAGTCATAAAACCCATTTTCCAGATCTTGGAATTATGTGCTTATAACCAGCAGTCAAAATGCTGAATCAAGGATATTTTCAGCGTTCTATCACATGTGAAGAATAACCTAACCAAATGCTTCGCAGATGTTTCTTCAGGAGGCCATATTTTGCAACTGTAGGATACTGTTTTCCTCAAACTAAGGCAATGAAAGATTGTCTAGCCTAAGATGTAGACTCCACATTGGAGCTAACACCAATAAAATATAAGCAGAAAATGATAATAATGAGCAAACCTTATCGATAGAACCATCCTTCGGAGTTTCCTGAACATTCTCACCCTGGCATTATTAAAGACAGAAGTTAGAAAGCAACAAATCTCTAAAAAGGTTTCAAGCAAAATTAAGATCTTGCAAAGTCTACTAGGTTACACTTACCTGCAAATGCCAAATGAGAATATGGGCAAATATGTCACTTCTTTGGGTAGCTCTAAGAAGATACCCTTCAACTAGCCTCTGCATTTGAAAAGAAGTTGAATTGTTAAATATCTTACGAAACAGGAAAAGGGAAAGAACTCATGCAAGGCATTACAGAATATCCAGCCCCAGTAGAAGGGCAATTTTCCATAGCATTTGAAGATAAAACTATGACAAGAAAAACCTCAAGTGATTGAATGGCCCAACTACAACGAGATAGACATGGTTTTTAAAAAATGTGAAGCTGATAATCCAATACTAATTTTAAGAAACGTAAAAGTAATTTAGTTTAGATAAAGACCAAGAAAAGAAAGGTTGAATGGGCTGGTCATTCCAATTTTTAGCACCATGGTTGGAGGAGTTCTGGGAATTGCTTCTACACCAAATGGAGAATTTCTAATTCGAAGACTAAGAAAAAAAACCACATATAAAAGCTGAAAAGACGACAGAAAAAAGGTATATATGATTTAATTTCAATAATTAAGATGTGCCTTCACTAATCTTATGAGCACAAACTGAATAATATAATTCAAATTGCTTAGAGAGAGAGAGAGAGTCATGTTAGAGAGAAGTGCCATTAAATATATTGATTTCAATGATAAGACTTACCCCTTCATCATAGCGCAAAGACTGCACCAACTGCGGCATGAAAAAAGTAACACGTTCAGGAGGGTAGGACTCTAAAACTCGTAGGACATATGCCATGACACGTGGATGTCCCTTATAAGCAGGCGTGAGGAACTCAAGAGCCTGTGTAATTGAACAAGCAGCCCAGTGCGGTAGCTGCTGCAACAGCACTGAGTTCTCTTCAACGTTTTTTGGTGTAACAAAATACGGCAATGCCTCAGGAATTGTACGAAGATCTACTATATTTGTCTGCAAGAAAGAATATCAGTGAGAACGCTCATTTTACATCATTTTACAATATTAAGAAATATAGCCATGGTATCAAATTATTATTTTTATATACCAAGAGGTCCAGAGCATTACTGTCCTAGCAATCTGATTCTCAACATAAATTTTAGTTCTTCAATAAAATATTTAACCAAAAGTACCATGGCGGACTTTTTCCCAGTTGCATTATGCCTCACTGGTTTTGTGTGGTGGTGCAACACCAGCTCTTTTAAAACTTAATACCAGAGATACAGTATTCCATCTCAAACTACAAAATGTAAAATCTGTCTTTCTACAGTCTAGAAAGTAGCAGCTGTAAATTCATACCTGAACCAGCTGAGTGACTTCAGATTTCACAGAAGCATTTGCCGGAAATCTTGAGGCGACTGATAAAGCAATGCGAGGATCCACTGAAAAGGCCGTTTTAAGCATATTCGGTCCATTTCTCAGAGCTTATTTTCAGCCGCGAATATGGACTGTCCCTGTACATACGTTGCCACTTGGAAGAATGAATATCAAAAATGTAAGTCAAAGAAAACGACTGAGAAGTGAAAATTTCATACAAAGATAGCGAGTTTTACTTTGAACTAATAGGTTGTGCCCAAACGTCAAGCCTGTCAGCTTCATGCTGGCAGAGCATTAAAAGCAACTGCTTCCTTTTTTTCTTTTCCCACAGTGTAGTTGTCCATCTCACCCCAGACGGGATGATACTGATCAGTCTGTAAACATCCAGCCCAAAGAAATGTCATTGTTTGTAGTCAAATTTACAGGTGAAAGTAGAAAAAAATCGCAGATCGTTGTCTTACCACATCAATCAAATTCCCACTTTCACGAGGTTTTCCTTTGGAATCAGATTGACTTGATTCTGATAGCTCGTTTGATAAAAAGTGAACAAAAACTGAAACAGATAGAGCTCGCTCTGACAAAAATTTGGAATATTTACATCATACCACTCTGGCTGATGAGCAAACCAGCCTAAAGACGTCCTGGAATAAGTTGATGTGCACAAAATTAAAAATAAAGGAAAGTCAGAGATAACAAATGCCATTTGAAAACACCGAAAATGCCATGTTGGATGGCTAAGATGACATAAAGCTTGAAATGTAGCTACTTTCAAATTGTTCTCAGCATATGATATAGCTATTAACATAGCAGATACTAGTCCAGGCAGTTCAATGTGTTGTGCAAAGGCAATTTATGATAAATCCTACATCCGACAAAACACTAAGAGATCACATGAACATTAATAATTAGTGCATAGTAAATAAATGAACGAAAAGAAAATCAGATGTGTGCCACCAAATCATAGAGACAGGCTGAGGAGGCATCAGCCTGTCCGTAAAGAAAGCGTAACAAAATGTATAGTGCAAGAAAAAATAAAGGAAATCCGCAAAAAAAATGACCTGTATATTCGATCTTCTAAGAGCTGGAGTCCAGATCTAAATTTCTGCATGTTTGCCTTGTGTTTGGCATGAGCAGAATTTCAGTCCAAGGAGCATCAAAGAAAAAAGGTAACCAGCAGCTGCAGGGTGGCGAGTAAAGCACCAGTCAAGGTCTGTACTCCGTTGTAACATCCGACCTAGCAGCAACAGGTTGCTCCGCACTATTATGTTCGAACAACCTAAAAAAAGCAAAGTGGCAATAAGAAGCTCACTCAAAATATCGATTATCTGCTTCCTTGATGATCAGTAAGCAAATTTTTCAAGTGAAGCAAAATTACTTTAGACTGCAATTTGCCACCTAAGGTCTTTCACAGAAAAGTGAAATTTGATTCAACTAGGAGGATCACAAAGAAAACTCAGTACTTATAACACTTAAGACCGTCTTAACCAATGTGGAAGGAAGAATGAGGTAAATTAAACTCGAGTTAGCTCCTGTATTAGAAAAAAGTAGAGAATCAATCCTAACCTCACACCGATCTATCAAAAATCCAAGCCACAGTCTGTGAGCGACTATCTGGTCAACAGGGTCACTTTCAGGTGGATCTTCTGGTTCCCCTGGGGAAAGATGGGGTCTTAATTTTGCAGCTGGGCCAGAGTATCGTACATCAGATGCAAAGAGTCCTCGCTTTGTATCAATTGTCCATACCATGCATCAAACAAGCTCGGCAAGGACAAGGGATACCAGTTGAGGAGCAGCAGAAACCAACCAGGTCCATATAAAAATTCCAGTTTCCATAGCATCTGGAGTAGATATATATGCTGGACACCAACAAAGGAGACGCAGTAATTGAGAAAAGCCTTCGACATTTGTTTTCGACTCACCACCCTGATGCAACATAAGAGAGATTAGAATGTACAGCACAAAATAGTGGTAGATATCACAGTTGCTGGTAAGAAAAAAACCCCCTTTGTTCTTGGTAAGAAAACCTTACCAGGTTTGAAAGAAGTAATGCAGTTGCTTGGGAACAAGTTTCTCGGAATTGCGACTTTTCCACCTCTCCACCCTTTTCAGCAGTATTTACAAATTGCTGAAGAAGACGCACAAACCTGGCAATTAACATCTCATTAAATGAATCATCTTCTGGTTGTGGTGCTTGGGAAAATGCTCCAGATATTAATCTTTGAAGGCCACCACCAAAACCACTAGGTGTCGAGCCAGATTGAAATCCACCAATACTGTTGTACAACCTTCGCATGCCAGCAATTTCTCCAGCATGGTTGCATTTTACCGTTGCACTGACTACACCAGTACCAAGTACTTCCAAGTTAAAGGCTTCAGAAACTTTTAAGTTTGCCCCTGACGCTGCAGCTGCTGCAGCCATCACAGCTGGGATATTAGCAGTTCTTATCCCAGACCAAAGTTCATTTTTTCCAGTTCCAATTTTTATCTCAGATAGAAGAGAAACCACATCAGTTGTAGTTTGTGCTCGCTGCCATGTGTTTGCTTTGCACAGCTTATCCTGAGGTTTATATTAAAAACAAGAGAAGGAATGTGAATCTCTATTATAACTCAAAAGGAACAGCAAGAAAATCTAACCAGAAACCACGGATAGCGCTCTGCTATGAGAATATAGACAAAAATAATCTAGATGAACAACTAAGTGCCTACGTCCAAAGCTTTTCATAGTTCGTTTGTGAACCAAAAACAGACTGCCAAAACAGCCTGTACATCTGAAGGGACCAAGGAATTATACAGAAACATGGAACAGCAATTACGGTAGTTAGAGGGAGAGAAAGACTGAAGGGCAGCTGGTTTAAGCATTTTCAGAAAAACAGAGGAATCATAAATAAAAACAAATTAGTTAGAGACAGTAGAAGGAATTAAAACAAAGCACTGCAACAGAAAAGAGACAGGAACTATATCTCCACAGTAGGTTCCATTTAAAATTGTTAAACAAACAGATTGACTTGAAGAAATAGAAAGCTATAAAAAATAAATATATTGAATGAGCATATAGAAGACAATATGTATTGGCAAAAGAAGGAAACCTGAAGCAAACCCTGACTGGTGCATGGAGCATATGAAAGTGATATTATGATCCATTCTCGTACAACTTTCTGGTATAAGGATCGAACAGCAGCAGTCCAAGCAGGATCATTGACAACAGTTGAAGGTGTATTGTCATGAACTGAAAACAGCAAACTATCCAGACATGACGAATGCCAGAGGACCTGCATTTTCCCATTGTTAGTTGATCTATAAAGCACGGGGATTCCAAATGAACAGTTGAAGAAGGCAAAAGAAAACAAACATTTCCTGGAGGTATACTCCAGCACACACATACAGAAGGCAAACACCGATAATAAACAGAAGGAAACAAAAAATATCTAATTAATTGAAAATGGAGAGAAATTATGTAGAAGGAAGTAAACCGTGACCAAAATTTCTATGGTAAACACAAGTGAAACAGAAATCACAAAACATTTTAAAGTGCATAAAAATAAACACATACACCACTGATGTCTAATGTAAGTGAATTGACCAATTTGCAAGAGATCAAAAAAAGAAAACAATACGAAAAGCTAGATTCAAAAGGAAAAACATCGGCAATGGGTAACACATGAAATTTTTACACACAAGTGAGAAGAAAAACACATAAGGATCGACCAAGTAACTTTTGTTCCATGTAAAACTAAATGTGAATTAGATACAATTACTGAGATTCGGGTCTTATTCCTGGTATATCTTCTGTAAATACACACAATGGTAAAACAATCATAACTAAATATAACTCTATCTCTCCATAATAATTTATCAATGTGATATACTCATATATGCACTAGACCTCGTTTCTCTCTCACAGAATGGTGAACCTACACATAATCTTTCGAACGAGAGAATGTAGACCCATATGTTTTTACCTGAGGAAATTTGTCTCGTAGCTGAGTCAACAGGTTCACAGAGATATCTCGGACGTGCTCATCTCTCTGTGACATACTCTTTATGAGGAAACATGCATGTGCATACGTTGTCAGTTCTCTATTACGAGCATCTTTCCCAGTAAGAGATATTCGATCTTCCTGAAACCAAATGAAAGTTTCTGTAACATATATATACTGTTTAAATAAAGAAGCAGCAAAACAGAAAAGCAGAGCTGGTGTTGGTAACAAAAAGACCAAATTGCATATACAAAGGGACAGAATGATTGCGCTAGAGCTGCCACTAAAAGGTCTTTGACAAAAATTTAGCTAAAATACTATGACCAGGTAATTCTATACCAGCCATGAGACTGCTGTTTCAAAGGCTCTATGCACAATTGCCGTCAAACACTGTGAAACAGCAGGAGTAAGATTTGGAGTTTTCAGATATTCGAACACACAACTGAAGGCACTTCTAGAGGCAGATACGCTTGAGTCACCATTAAGGATACCCCCGTTGCTAATAAAACGTATGATCTCCAAAAAAGACACAGCAAGCAAATAGGTAGCCTTCACCCCTGAAAGAATTGAAGAAAGGGATTTCTAAGTATCTAAAATATCACATCAAAGTCCATCTAGCAGATATTGTAAATAACTCCCCATTTGTTAACCTGAGATGGTGTTCATTGCTGCAACGTCAACTCTGCCACCTAAGGCAGTTGAAAGAGCAAGTCTCTGGGTTGAAGCTACTTTCTCATTTCCATTTCCTCGGCGGCTACCAGGATTGTGAAGCGCGTTGAGTTCTAATTCGTCTTCAAGCCATTTTACTGAACTGACGACCTACGAAGAGCAATACTCAATCAGATAAGATAACTAAAGAACAAGTATCTCCTGGGAGATGTGAGATTCAGTTTTAGTAGGTTTAAAATACAGTGAACCAAAAATTAAACTCTGAAGATGACCTTCTAGACTGACTTACAAGGGGGGGAGAGCCTTGAGCAATTCGCTGAACAGCTAGGGCCCACTGAGTGTTCCACAAGTAAGGACCTCCCACAGCTTGCAAAGCAGTTGCACTCATGCTTCCCACACTGTTCACTGAATTGGAGGTTGACTTCAGGGGTGGTGTCGGAGTTTTCACAATAGGAGGTGCTAAGCCAAAAAGGGCTATATAAAACCAGAGATTGCGAAACAACTTCAAAAGTGAAGGTTCCACATCCATAGTAGATCAAAATCTGAACACATTTCTGCAACAGCAGGAAGAAGAGGCCCTAAAAAATCCACACCACTCCTAGAAGAAATGAAGCACACAATAAATATTCCAGTCAGTATGAAGGAAAAATGTTTTAGGTGGAGAAACATTAACTGAATAATTTCCAATTATACTAAACTTTTAGGCTAGATGGACTACGGAAGATGATTGA